GAGGCAGGAGACTCGCTTGAGCCCAGGAGTTGGAGGTTGCTGTGAGCTGTGATGCCACGGCACTGTACCCAGGGGGACAGCTTGAGGCTCTGTCTCAAAAAATATATATATATCAATAAGTACAAATATTATTTTGGTAAGTTTTTTATTCAACTCACGTTTTGAAAATCAAAATATTTTCTTCCATAAAAGTTCTACTGAACAGTATGGAAAAAGACTTGAATAAACTGTTCTTCCAGGGAAATTTGAGAATGCCTTCACAACAGAGCTAGTCAACCAAGAATGAGAACAAATAGAAAGCATGTTTGGGGATACTGTCCTGTTAAGATAATAAAATTTCCTCAGTTTAGGAAACCAGCTTAGCGTGATTGGAGATTATTGTCCTGTTAAGATAATAAAATTTCCTCAAGCTTACTTGATTTTTCTCTTTTTATCCTCCTAGACTTAGAGACCAAACCTGGAACCAAGAATGCTATACTAAGAGATGACATTTCTGAAGATTTATCACAAGAGGCCATAATAGAGAAACTCACAGAGAGTAGTCTGTGGGATTCCAGAATGGGAGGATTATGGAAATGGAATGACAGCATATTAAGACTGCAAAATAGTAAGGACAGTAATTTGAGTCAAAGAACTATAACTCACAAGAAAACTCCCATTGGCCAAAGAGATTATAGATTTGGATCTGTTCTTGTTCCAGAACCAGCACTTGCCACAGAAGAATCCCATGGCAAATACCAGATACATGAGGAAAATTTCACAGAGAATTTAGGTTTTATTACAGGTACTCATTTGGGGAAGATAGTTTACAAGGACACAGAAAGCAGCAAAGCCATAAAGCAGACTTCAGAACTTACTTTGGGGAAAAAATCCAATGATAAAGAAAAACCCTATGAATGTAGTACATGTGAAAAGGCCTTTCGTTATAGGTCATTACTCATTCAGCATGAAAGAACTCACACTAAAGAGAAACCTTATGTGTGTGCCGAATGTGGGAAAACATTCAGCCAGCCTTCATATCTCAGTCAGCATAAAAAAATCCACACTGGAGAAAAACCTTATAAATGTAATGACTGTGGAAAGGCCTTCATTGCTTCTTCATCACTGATGGTACATCAGAGAATCCACACTAAAGAGAAACCTTATCAATGCAATGTCTGTGGAAAATCTTTCAGCCAGTGTGCCCGTCTGAATCAGCACCAGAGAATTCAAACTGGAGAGAAACCCTATCAATGTAGTGAATGCGGGAAAGCTTTCAGTGACAAATCAAAACTGGCAAGACATCAGGAAACTCACAATGGTGAGAAGCCCTTCAAGTGTAATAACTGTGGGAAAGCCTTCAGGAATAAGTCATATCTTAGTGTTCACCAAAAGACCCACACTGAAGAGAAACCATACAAGTGCAGTGAGTGTGGGAAATCTTTCAAGAATAGCACAATATTTAATGTTCATCAGAGAATTCATACCGGAGAGAAGCCCTTTAGATGTAATGAATGTGGGAAAGCCTACCGGAGTAATTCAAGCCTTATTGTACATATAAGAACTCACACTGGGGAAAAACCGTATGAATGTAATGAATGTGGGAAAGCGTTCAACCGCATAGCAAATTTCACAGAACATCAGAGAATTCATACAGGAGAAAAACCCTATAAATGTAATGAATGTGGGAAAGCCTTCATTAATTATTCATGCCTTACTGTACACCACAGAATGCACACAGGAGAGAAACCTTATAAATGTAACGAATGTGGAAAGGCCTTCATGCGTTCTTCATCTCTCATTATACATCAGCGTATTCATACTGAAGAGAAACCTTATCTATGTAATGAATGTGGGGAATCATTCAGAATAAAATCACACTTAACTGTGCATCAGAGGATTCACACTGGAGAGAAACCTTACAAATGTAGTGACTGTGAGAGGGCATTCACCAAAATGGTAAATCTCAAGGAACATCAGAAAATTCATACTGGAGTGAAACCCTATAAATGTTATGATTGTGGAAAGTCCTTCAGGACTAAGTCATACCTTATTGTACATCAAAGGACACATACTGGAGAAAAACCCTATAAATGTAATGAATGTGAGAAAGCCTTCACGAATACATCACAGCTCACTGTGCATCAACGAAGGCACACTGGAGAGAAACCCTATAAATGTAATGAATGTGGGAAGGTTTTCACAAGTAACTCAGGCTTTAATACTCATCAGAGAACACATACTGGAGAAAAACCATTTAAATGTAATGACTGTGGGAAAGCATTTAGCCAGATGGTACATGTCACAGAACATCAGAAAATCCACAGTGGAGAGAAGCCCTATAAGTGTGATGTCTGTGGAAAAGCCTTTAGGAGGGGTTCATACCTTACAGTGCACTGGAGGACCCATACTGGAGAAAAGCCCTATACCTGTAAGGAATGTGGAAAAGGTTGTATTACTCTATCACAGCTAACTCTACATCAGAGAATTCATACTGGGGAAAGGCCCTATAAATGTGAAGAATGTGGAAAGGCCTTCAGAACTAACTCAGACTTTACTGTACACCTGAGGATGCATACTGGAGAAAAACCCTATAAATGTAATGAATGTGGGAAAGCCTTCAGGAGTAGTTCAAGCCTTACTGTACATCAAAAAATACATCAGAGAGAAACTCAGTTAATATAGAGAACCATAAATCATTCATTCAAATGTTGACTCCACAGATGAATTTGATAAACTATATTTTATGAATGTGGGAAATCTGCATTAAAAATTCATCCACAATATATACTAAATAGATACTCTAGAAACATAATGAATGTGGAAAAGCATTTAGTCATAGTAGAGCTTAGTAGTTATAAGAAAATTCACACTAGAGAAAAATAACATACAAATGAAAGCCTTCATTCAGATTTCATACTTTATTCATTCAACAACTTGTCTTCAATTGATTGCCTATATATATAAGCCTATTTTTCTATTGGTTTATCTGCCTTTTCTTATAAATCTGGAGGTACGTTTTATATATTTTAGATATTAGTCCTTTGTTATTTATGTAGCAAATATTTTTCTTAATCTAGTATTTGTCATTATACTTTTAAAGTCACATTTTTATTCTTATAGTAAAATATTTATATCTTTTCATTTTAGATTCTCAATTTACTAATTTAGATTTAAAGAGGTATCCTTAATCCCTGGGTACCCTCATTTTGTTTCTAAGATTTTAGAAAGTTTGTTTGTAACTTTAGTTTTTACATTCAAATCTTAAGTCCCTCTCGACTGGATAGTTCTTCATAGAAGAACAACTATAGATGACCATTAACCTATGAAAAGATTTTGAATCTAAATAGTGCTCAGGGAAATACAAATTAAAATGACCAATAAGATGAAACTTCCAATTCATGGAGATGGCAAAAATTAAGAGATCTTCTGCTATTGAGGTTTATAAAATAATTTACCTAAAGATTGTATAGCTTATATTTCAACCAGCAATATATAATTAAAATATTAACTATAGTATATGTCCTTAGGCCCACTAGTCTTACTTTTGGGAATCTGTCCCATAGAAATAAAAGCATAATCAATGCATAAGAATATAAATAAATAAAGCATGTTTGTAGCAGTATTGTTTGTAGACTAGGGGAAAGGACCAACTGGAAACAACATTAGTAGACATTCACTAATGTCTACTAATAGGGAATGTCTACTAATTGTGATATATCAATGTCATGGAACAATCTGAGTCATTCTGAGAATGAATCATATCCATATCTGTAATAGCTGACTTCAGTGTATTTCCACGTTTTGATGATTGCTTTATAAAGATGTATATATAACATTTCATTTTTGTTAAAATAATGATCATACATTAATAATATATTTATGTGTGCATGTGTTAGATATGCATGGGAGGAGGTATGGAAGAATATACACCAGACTCTTAATATTGATTATCTTGAGGGGAGTGAGAAAAGGAAAAATGGAGATAAGGAGGCAGTGACTATAAAAACAGAAGAATGTAAATGTAGCCTGTATCATATAAAACTGTATATGTAATATTATGTATTTGTATGAACTTTTGAGAGAAATGAATGAAGGAATGGTCTTTAAAATTTTAATGGTAGGTGTTTCAGTGTTGGTGGAGTCTTCAGTAATTTTTGTTTGACTTTCTTTGCTGTGCTTTCTTAAATTTTTAAGTTTTTCTATGCAATGCACATGTAATACATAAAATGGAAAAACCTTTTTTGTTGTGAAGCTAATTTATTGCACACCTGCTGTGTGCCAGGAACTATCCTCGGTCCTAGATACACATTAGTGGGGGGAGAGCTGCTCCTGTACATGAGAGCATGGGAATGGGTTCTGACATTGCCTGAATTCCAAAATAGTTACTAAACACCTTATTCCTACAACCTACTGAGTTTCATCTGGAGAAGGTGATGGAAATTCCAGATACATGAAAAGTGGATCCTGGAACTTGTGTCCATACTTAAGATCAGACAAGCCTCAGAAAGAAGTTTCACTTTCAGCCTGGCACTGAAAGAAAGAAAGCCTCCAAATTTTTCATGATGAAGTGTAGAGAGGGGAGACAACCAATAACTCCCAAGTCTATAAATGAGGGCTTGGAACTTCTAGAAATACTAGGAAACACTCCTTCCTCCAAATCCTGGGCTTAAGCAATCCTCCTGCCTCAGCCACCTCCCAAAGCACTGAGATTACAAGCATGAGCCACTGTACCCCGTGAAGACTTCTGTTAGTTAAAAATAGTTTAATATACTACTTTCTGACTAAAAAGTTTGTGAGTCAGAGCCTTAAGGAGCCTTGCTGTCAAGAAGTTATCATCTCGTAAACACCAGGGACTCAACTAAAAAACTCTTAGAAGTGATCAAGGAATACAGTAGTGTATCAGGATACAAAATCAACACTCATAAATCTGTAGCCTTTATATATACCAACAACAGCTAAGCTGAAAAAACAGTCAAGGACTCCATCCCGTTTAAAG